CTTATATATAAAACAAAAAATACCGATATATACCGGATATTGGTTATTTTTATGTACGTAAGCTTGAAGTATTGATAACCAATTTTTCCACATATAAGGTGCAACAAATCGACTCATCCGAAGAACAGAGTCCGATGTGATTATATAGCGAAAAGAGAATAAGTACGTTACGTGAACAATTTCGTTATTCAAACTAGGTCCTATGTAAAGGTATTTTGAGAAATTATGTATCTTACTTCGTTTCGGAAATATAAAATCGAACAAAGGTCGATCTGACATCCACAGCGAAGAAGAACGAACGAAATGTACTATGTCCTGAGAACAACTAGTCTTACACATAGACCTTTGTTCTACGGATGTGTCGAATAGTTGTTGTCATATTCTGGCACTATTGGGTATGGGCTTTTTTTATGTTATCAATTGACGAGACGAACAAGTCATGCTCACGTCACCTTATGATAAGCGATACCCTTGTCCATAACAGTTGCAGTGTTCTCAGAGCTATAAATCGCAAAGATCTGAGGAGTACTGCCACTACGTCTGTCATCCTGAGATATAAGTTGACAAATACCGTATGCCTGTAATTTCAACAGCACACTCACGTTACTACTTGGAGACAGAAATAGGAAAGGTGGCATTATTTTCTTCGACGAACTCTTTCACAAGAAGCTCTACTGCCACTAGAATCGTTTGTGCTATCACTACTTCTTCTTGTAGAGAACAAAATGTTATACGAAATAATTCACCAAATAAAACAGACGACTTGAAGCACTGTCGATCGACATCGACGAACGTTTGGATTATGGACGAGAAGAAAGTTGTTTTAACACATAAGTTTTAAACTAAAGGTAGGTGGTTACTAATTAGAACGTAAGGGTATACGTTTAATGTTACGCACACGACACCAAATACTGTAGTAACTCAGAACAGACTAGACGAAACAGAACGAACTAGAGGACTTTACGAATTTTTCTATGTGCGTGTTGCAGATGGTTGTTTTTGGGTTTCAACGACTTTTTGCCGTAACGCCATCTGTGAGAAATCTATGAAAGTTTTCTTAAAAGTCTCAAAAATAATTGAATATCATCGCGGTCAAACATCGTCACATTAACATCGTAAACTTAAAAATCGTGATTAAAATTTTAAAATTAAAAAAAGGTTAATGAGACCAATATTTGTTGTCGTTTATAAATGGAAAATTAAGTATTATGCACATTATGCATAAATAATAATAATCACATTATTTTCAAAAATAATAATAATAAAACCATTTATTTATCTTAACACATCAATAAATTTGACAATATTTAGTTTCAAGTGAGATTTATTAACTTCACTTAACAATGTTACAATTACAATTTTGCTATGTTTTTAAATGTATCCCAATTAATTGTAGAGAGGCTCATCAAGGATCGAAATGCTTAAGTATTAATTCAGGTTAACATTTATAATGGATAAAGTGCTTTGTGTCTGAAATGTGCCAAATGTCAATCTCAAAAAAGTCACAAGCCGAATCGTTGTCACATAAATTTTCATTCATATTTACTTAGTTTCTTCATTGTTTTTTAGTTTTTCATTTTTAATAAAAAAAATAAACAAACAGAACTATGATTTAGCATGAATTATTATCGGACATACACACATAAAAAAGGATCAAGCTCGTTTGATAATCACTAAAAATCAGGATTTTCTTAATTAATTTTGTTAACATCGACGGCCTTTTTTGATCAATTTTATAATTTGAATTTGAAAATGAAATTGACCAAACAATCCGTTGGTTTAAGAAAAAAAATTAAAAAATATGATTTTAAATTTTTATTGAATTGATATTAAATTATTTTTTGTGAAATTATTCCACTAGTTTGTTGTCTTTGTATTAATAAAAAACATGATTTTCAGTAATTTGCAAAAATGTGCTTGATACCCTACAGTAATAACCGCACGCTATGAGTGAGAGTCAGAATGGCGGGCTTACCTTAACGGATCCTGACAAATTTGGTATCAAGAACATATACCTAATTTGTACTATTTAGTACCTTTGTTTAAAAAATTTGTACCTCCATCAGAACGAAGTTATAGCAATATCAAAGGTACGCCCGCCGTATTGAATGTCAATATGGCGGGTGCACCTCGGATTACCAGTATTTATTTAATAACTACAAAAACTTCTTATTACAAAAATTTATAAATTAATAGTACTCTGAAGTGAAGGAAACTCCAGCTCGATCTGCTGGTTAGTTTCTGAGAAATACGACAAAATATGTAGTGATTTCAGAGTGCCTTGATGTGCACCTTAACGAATCCTGACATATTTGGTACCTAAAAAATTTAACAAAATTCTTCTATTTAGTACTTATTCTTAAAAATTTGTACCTCTATCATAACGAAGTTAAAGCGAAATCAGTATTGTAAACATTTTCGTAATTTTTTTACTAAATTTCCGCCATTTATTTGGGTAAATAGGCAAAGGTTCCAACATACAGCCTCTTCATATTATTATATAAGTATCTTTCCTTATAGTTTTTATTTATTACTACCTAGCTGATACCTGCAACTTCGTCTGCGTAAAAAAAACTAAGTACTTCGAGGAGCCAGCCTAATACTATTACACAGTTCTATTGGTTAGCCATACACACTTTCATAATATAATATTATATACTGGGCGTCTCACGACTATACTACACGGAGAGAAAGTGCTTTAAATACAGTAGATTGAAAATTTTATTAAAAGAGAACTTCGTTTTGATTTTACACACAATTCTAACTGCATTTAAAATTTTTATTGAATTGATATTCAATTCATTTTTGTGAAATTACTCCACTAGTTTGTTATAATTATTAATACAAAGATCGAACACTCGGAAAAAATTTCTTCAATCTGGCCGGATTCGAACCGATGTCTTCTAGCTTTCAGCGAACCTCACGATTTTTTCTATGTGCTTGCGTTGTGTCTTTGTATTTGGTTTTTCAACGACTTTTTAGTCGTAGCGCCATCTATGAGAAATCTATGAAAGATTTATCATCCAGTTAGTACCTTTACAGCTACCAGTCCCGGCGAGAGAAGTCGCTATTCGCTGTATTTTAAATTTTTATTGAATTGATATTCCATTATGTTTTGTGAAATTACTCCACTAATTTGTTATAACTTTTATTGAATTTCATGAATTTCGCCAGAACTGGTAGCTGTAAAGGTACTAACTGGATGATAAATCTTTCATAGATTTCTCATAAATGGCACGACGACTAAAAAGTCGTTGAAAAACCAAATACAAAGACACGACACAAGCACATAGAAAAATTCGTGAGGTCCGCTGGTTCGTTCCGTGACTTAGTTGGTATAGCGTCTGGCACGGTATGCTAGAAAACGTCGGTTCGAATCCGGCCAAATCGAAGAAAGTTTTTCTGAGTGTTCGATCTTTGTATTAATAATTATAACAATTCTAACTGCATTCAAAGAATCTTAAACAATCGCATGTCTAAGCCGGGAATCGATCCCGCCAAATGTGAAAAAATAAACACCTGTAATTTATACTACACTGATCAAAAGCCTCTTTCATATTAAGAATTGTTTTCTTCTAAATAACATAGCATCTTAAACAAAAGGCAGACCATGAAATTTAACATTCAATTAAAATAATGAGGTACATTTAACTGCAACTTACAATCAATATGTGTTATCAAATGCTCAAAATGTGTCTCATTCTGTAGTATACAAATTGCCACTCTTTTGATAATTTCGCTTCCCGTTAATTAATTAATTTTTTCATGGTGTATGTTTAAAATTATATAGATTGAAAGTTTGTGCTTATTAGTAATACTTTAAAATGATAATGTCAGTTGGCATGACCGCGTCAAAATCAGAGCAAAGGCTCACTCATTTTCCTGAACCAAATTTCAAATTAAATGTTAAATTTCATGGTCTTTCTTTTATTTAAGATGTCATGTTATTCAGAATAAAACAATCCTTCTGATTGAGCTTTCGAACAGTATACTACTATATTTGGCGGGTTCAATTCCCCGTTCAGACGGGTGATAATTAAAAAATCTTTGAATTGAGTTCGAATTGTTTTTAGAATCAAAATGGAAGTTTTCTTGCAGTAAATTTTCTATCGACGGTATTTAAGATAGCATTGGCGAGGGTGTCCATATAACTCGATTTTCACAGACTTGACTATAAATTTTCACGTATTATCAAATACTACATTTTGTGCTAAATTTTATGTATAAAATAAGTTAACCAGTGAAATGAACTATATACTAATTTGCTTGCTAATAGTTTTGTTTAAGTGTCGCCTAAGTGCCACTTTTGCTTAAGGTAGGTGTTCTTTCTTTTGCTCCGGCTATAATAATACAATTGTCACGCCTCGCCACTGTAAGGTATATAGGTACTTTCCCTCCATGTGGCATAGCTGTGAGACGCCTTGTATACCATGTCACCCCCTTTTTTTTTGTGACAAACAACAGTCTATTTCCTTCTCCTGCGTCACATTTATCTTTAGACCGAAATTCATCATAATGGTCCAGTAGTTTAGGCGTGATAACTGTCTGTTACAGACAAACTTTGGTTTGGATCTTTACACTGAATACAACTTACAGTAATAATGAGAATCTGTGATGGAAAGACGGAATGACAAACACTAATTTTTCGTTATGTTAGGTACTAATAAATTTGGATATTATTCTTAGTAGATACTTTAGATTTATACTTGACGAAGAAGCGTTACAAAATTAGCTTTAAACTTTATTTATCTTCCACGAAGAGATCCTCGATTTGATTTTCGGTAGGGCCAATAAATTCCCCTATTTCGTATTATTATTATTTTATTTTCTGTAATTAGTACCCACGAAAGCGACATTTTATACTATTTTAAAAAATTAATTCAATTCAAACATCTTGTAGAACCACCTTTTGAGCAGGCAGGTCTTTATAATTAGATTTACCCGAAACCTTTCATTGTAATGAAATTTCAAGACATAAAATGGTTTTTATTCTTTTGCAGTTCTACCTCAGCACAACCAGAAGAGGCTCCACCACAGAAGGGAAAAAGACACTCGAAAAAAAAGAAACTCACGAAGATAACCACAACTACCACCGAAGCAGATGAAGATGACGAAGAAGAATAAGTTTTTATTTCTATGATTAATTTGTTTTAATACTTTTACATTAACCTCATGTTATCAGTATTTGTTAAACATTATCTATTTCCATTGAATAATGCAAATTATATACCTAGGTTTTTGTTTAAACAATTTTTAATTTATCTGCCATCCAGCGATGACATTAAGAACTACATAGTATAATAACAACGTCATCTCTAGAACATTTATCGTACTAGTCCCAAAATGTTTGTGGCGTCATCTATACAAGAATCGACAAATTAAAATAAGAGGGCAAATTCATTCCTTAGCTGTAAAGCCACCTAATGTGATTAGTACTTAACATGGTCAATAGATGGTGGTTGATCATGCATAGCGTTTTGTTTCTGACAAAGATTCTATTAATAATTTAAAAAAAAAATCATTATATGAAAACTTAACTATATGCCTACTATTTGTTAAACAAAATGACAAACATCTAGTACTACTCACTTATCCAGATTACAATAAGATTTTTCTCTGCATATTTTGGTTTTACTTTTTGAAATAAGACTTAGGAAATCCAAAACGCTGTATACCAAGTATTGCCATACGAAAAAGCCTTTCAACAAGTCGGGAGATCTTTTTTGTTCTTTAAAAAAAATTTGACGGATTCGGGTGTCGATTCAGAACCTCACGAATACTCATTTGTCAACCGGTTCGATTTTATACAATACAGTACAATACAATATACAATACAATAAGCTTTATTTCTCTCAATAAGGTTATAGTTACAGTATATGAATACATTAAAAATACAATTATTAGTTACAAATAAATAAAAATAACAAATATCAAGTGCTTTGGTGAGAGCTGGAGTCTGTACTAGGTTGGATACCTGTGTTACAGATCACCAGGCTCACTCCCTCTTAGTGTAACAAAACGTGACACAAACTTAATACAAAAATACAGATAATTTACAAAATAAAGCATAGGCTATCTAGTGCAAAAATGTGTGTTCGTGCGTATGTGGGTGTGTGTGCGTATGTGGGTGTGTGTGTGTGTGCGGGTGTGTGCATGCGTGAGTGCGTGCGTACATGTGTGTGTGTGTGTGTGTGTCTGTGTGTGTGTGTGTGTGTGTGTGTGTGTGAGAGAGAGAGTGAGTGTGAGTGCGTACGAGTGTGTGTGCGTGCGTGTGTGTGTGAATGCTACTTTGTTCAGTAAAGTACCTAAGTATGTTTTCAGTCGACTCGTAGTCGAGAGTGGACAGCCAATAAGTAATAACTTTTTTACATTCCGCTCTGCACAATGGATGAATATTAAGGATTTTGTTTAATTTATTATAGACATATCCTCCTAGAAAATAAAAATGACGTTGAGCTAAACTAGTGGAAACACTAACTGAGGGACAAACAATATGTTTACGACGTACGGAGTACAATTTATTTTTATCCGATTAAGTTTATCGATTCTTTAAAAAAGTGTTTTTGAGTGCCTTATCAATCAAACCGGTTATAAATTCTTGGATTCTATGAAATAATTTCTGCATTTGTGCACTCTTGCCTCTAAAATACTAATAAACGATGTTACTATGTTTAGTACGCCATATAAATTAGATCCCTTTGCGGTTCCTAATTTGACTAATCTGAAAAAAAAACACACACAGTTCAGTTAATTAGAAGGATAGAAAACATGGGAAAAGAAAAAAGAAAGCGATTACGCATATGTATAAACGATTATGTTACTAAATTAAGCAAGCCCCAATGTTAGTCAGAGACTTTAAATGTCTTCGAATTGTTTTGCAAGCGTTCTCAAATTTGTAGGCTTAAAGTGACAATGACTCGAAGATATAGATGCGTACGTAGCCTAAATTATGAAAATATTATTACATGACATTTCCAGCGCATTTCGTTTAAAGAATTGGTGTAGTAAAAGCTGTCATTTATTAAATTTGACATTCATAGAATCTGTTATTTCGGCTGTCACTGTCAAAATTTGTCATTATTAATACACAGGTTATTATTATAAATCCGTTAAACTGAATAAACACAGCTTGTAGTCAATTCTTTGATATCTATGTTGTCGGTTAAAAGGAATATAATTATTTCATTTATTAATATCAATAGAACTTAAACACTAATACCGTTATTCACAATTATTTCCAGAAATCACCCCTTTTTATGGCAACACCAAATTTCCAACCTCAAACTCCCTACTATTTGTCAAATTGGCAATTGTCATACGCGTCGGAGATGTGTCAATGAGCGATCGTTGTCGTCGAATTATATGTGTCGTATCAATTGTAGTGCGAATAAGCAATGATGAGAAAACATGCACTGGACTACCTAAATATAAAGTGATGTGTGTGTTTTAGGTTCAGTGTTTTTGTAAAAATTGTTGTTTTCGATTTGTATGTCACAGACTATTCAACATGGCGGCGGCCCGACATAAGTCACAACAGAAGAATATTTCTTCAATATTTTCGAAACTTCATGGTGCTTTTTCTGATGCCGTATGCACAAACAAACTCGCCACAGACAAACGGACCTTAGATAAGACTTGGAAACTAATGGATAAAGTGGTCAAACTATGTCAACACCATAAAATGAACTTGAAAAATAGTCCACCGTTTATTCTAGATATTTTGCCTGATACATATCAGCGTTTGCGGATTATTTACTCGAAGTATGAGGATAATATGCAGGCGTTGAATAATAATGAACATTTTAATATATTTATTAATAATTTAATAAGGAAATGTAAGCAAGCGATTAAGTTGTTTAAAGAGGGAAAAGAGAAAATGTTCGATGAGAATAGTCACTATAGAAGGAACCTAACGAAGCTGAGTCTGGTGTTTAGCCACATGCTGAGTGAGTTGAAGGCGATGTTTCCTAATGGGACCTTCGCTGGAGACCAATTTCGCATCACGAAGAGCGACGCGGCAGAGTTCTGGCGCAACAACTTTGGGAACAGGTATGTAGGTGTTTACTTCTTTCATCGGCGGTTACCTTTGTACAATATTTCTTCATGAACATGTTTTCTAGCCGATTCCACTAGTGATTTATAGTTGATTCTATATTTCACTTATAGGTTATGTTATGCCTGAATAAAGCTATTCAAACTTGGATTATATCGTTCCTGAGTGCACATCTAACAGAAAAATCGCGTCGCCAATGATCTGCGCATTTATGCATCCAAATTTCTTGGATTTACTTATTATTATTACATAGGCATTATTATGCTGCCAAATACAAAAAGTTCTTCACTCATAGCTATTTACAAATTCTGCTGCAGATTTTTCTATATTTCCCTAAAAGACCATATAATTTTCACATAACTACTCCATAGATAGGTACTTAAACAAAATAAAATTTGAAACTCAAAACAGTTTGTATTTTTATTTATTATGATGCCTTTATTTTGTGCAAAAGTAACCTGCATGTCAAAACAGTAAGGTGTGATATTATATTCAGGACATCCATATTTAAATTTAAATTGACTTGGTAATAATAATTTCGTTTACTAAAAACATGTGTGTAAACAGGTGTTTAAAAAGGGTAAAAGTACACTAAACAACTATGTTTACACTCTGCATATTTCTAGTCATGGTGACGTACTGGTGTTGGAATAAGATATAAAAATTATGAATTTGGGTTCTAGCCGTACGTAGGAATTACCTCCAAATGCTAGATAGGACCCTTAATATTAACAAGCACAATCCAGCCTTGAATCTATGTGAGAGCAATGACTTTGAATTCTGACCATGTTGTGAAAGACAGCGCTTTTGCTTTTCTTATGCCATTGCTGCCTCTGATGAGTTTAAGAAATTATTCTGCTATATACTGTATTCTAGTGCATTTATGGTGATCACTAGGGCTTGGATAAATGTGCAGTGTAAAGTACAACATATGTACTTATAATATGGGCAAAAAGTCTTGAAATATAGAGATAAAAAAAAACAACTATTTTCACATGCACTACCCTTAATTTTATTCCACTTTTTTAATATATTTTTTAATAAATTTTTTTTTTGTTATTGTTACTACACACATTTACATGATTTTTAAAATTTTCTCAATTAAAATTCTGTTTGTTTGGTCGGAACAACGCTTTATGCTGGCTGAATGATCTTTCGACGTCACAGGATGTGACTGGAGCAAACTGAAATTTGCACAAGTCTGCAAGTGTGTATACTGTAAATTTTTGTAGTATATTAAATACTTTATTTTTTTTCAAGTACATGCATATAATTAAATAAAATATCACGTAATATTGAGAATATGGATTATTGCAAGTTTCACATAGAAATATCGAAAATAAAAGTAACTTTTTTGATTCTAAATATCATTATTTTTGTAGAAAACAAATTAAAGAATGTCAATTATCAAAATAAAAGATATGTAATTACATATT